TAATGAACTAACATAGAATAAAAAAAAAGTTCAATATTTCAAACTGTTATTTAATACAACTTGTAAACTATTATTGTTATACACTATTATATAAAAAAAAAAAAAAAACTTTTAATTTCTGAAACATAATAAAAAATAATTTTATTTATAGATAATATTTTATTATAGATAATATAAATCAGATAAAAGTATATTAAATGTTATCTAATAATTTAAATACAAATCGTGTTATATGTTCTATTCTAGTATTCTACATGTGATGTACTCTAAATCACTGTCTAAATTATTTAATGACTTCATGTCTTCATTTAACTATGAAGAAATTAAGTAATCTGTGTTTAAAATAAATTTAGAAACAACAAAACAATAAAAAAATAAACGAATAAAAATGAAAATTCTTATATTAATATACGTGAATAATTCCAATGATGTTACTCGCATGTAGGAGGATTCACTCACATGACACGACCAATTATTTTCAGAATGCAACATTTTTCGATTTCGAATAATAAAATGGCGATTAATTGATAAATGTATTTTGATTAGTTCTTTATATAAGGTATTATGAATTTGGAGAAAATACAACTACAAGCAAACCAGTAGTTCTCATCTTAAAAATTATGTGAGGAAATTTCTCGCATGTGAGCAATGATGGGTTAACTAAATTATACAAATATTTACCTTTAGATTAAGATGTAGCATCTCATTTTATTTAAATGTAATAAATTAACAATTTAATACTAGTTTTTTACTTATTTTTTGAAACCATTATGCGGATTAAGAGTAAAAAGGTTTTATAACAAAATGTCTAATTTTTCAGTAGATAAGTTTTGAGGTGTGTTGTCAAAATTGTTTTTATCATACCAAGAATAATTGTTTATAGTTTGCAAAAAAAAAAAAATCAAGCATGTTTTCCGTATCAGTATAACATATCATTATTAAAGTTATTTCTCTAAAAATAAAAAAATAGTTTGGAGTTAGAAGGTTCTATAGAGAAGAGTATATTACTCGCTAAATATTTTTTTGTTTAACAAAACCTATTTACTCACGAAATATACAATTTTATTTGGTTTGGCCAACACAATATAAATTACATAATTTTACCTAAAACATCAATTAATATTTTATTAAATAGTTTTCTATTTAAATTATTAAATATAATACTATAATTCAACATTAAATAAATTTAATACATTCATTATAATAAAATAATATGTAATAAATTTAACTTTAATAGTATTCTATTTATTTATTTTATGAATTGATTTTTATCATTTACAATGATTTATTGATGTCTGAGAAAAATAATGTTATAAGTTGCTACCTATTTGACATTTTTTTTCTCTGTATGAGACTTATACTCTTTGTCAACATCAGAGTCCTGATAATTTATTGTTTCATCAGTTGATTTAGAACCAACTGAAAATGTATTGTTATCAGTTGTTGACTAATCATTCTAGATAAGGACATTTTAAAATAACCTTTCTCAAATTCATTTAGGGGTAAAAAACAATTTTTAATATATTTTTATCATACACTGTGATATTTGATTAAAAAAAAAAAAAAAAAACCATAACCATAAGTAGGTATTCACTATCTAGAAGAAAATCTATTTATAAGTCGCATTCAATAATAGTTACATAAACCAATAAGAATATATTATAATAACACACATTCAAGTATCTCAGATTGGTGTTAAGGAAAAAAACTTGATTTAACCACAACATAACAATTATTATATTAACGTATTGATATAATTCATGTATTATTGGTAGTTGTTATAGAAGATAAAACTAATTAATTCTTAATAATATTTTTGTAATTCAAGATAGAAACTTTTTATCCTCAAAAATAGTTATAGAGTAAGACATTTCTATAAAATAAATTTCTGTAGTGGACCACGCCGTATGAGCAACCGTGTATGGAACTGTGCGTAGTAAAATAGATAGTCTTACATTTTTCTAAATGTTTCTTACTTAAAAATATTTGTAAGTCTAAATTACTAATTAATTCTAACATAGACTGGTGCAAAGGTGCTAATTTTAACTCTTTTAAATCACGTCTGAAAAAAAATCTTATCTCAGACTCTCCCGAATAGATCCTTTCTCCACTATTTTTAGTCATATCTCTTCTTGGTAAGAGGTTCCCACATTCACGAGGCCTCGGATTCATACGAACGTGCGATAATCCTATTATCTTATAGCATATGTCTCACATCCAAAACTTTTTATTATGTCATATACAGCTGCATCTATCTAATTAAAGTTACTACGTAGTTTCTTGTACCTAACGTTTTTAGTTACCCTTGTATAAAGAGTTATATTATAAAACTATGATTATAACTAAATTAGTTTCGGTCTATGTCTGATATACATAGTAAATTATATCAAATATACTTCGGAATTGTGTTCGATATTATCGGTACAATACCGTATACATCTTCTCATATGTTATACATGCTTTAATATGATGTCTGTGTCGTAATATTTTGTTAATATTCTTATATGATATCAGAGCACGGTTCTACATGGCACGTTATATAAAAATAATGAATACGTTAATTGGAATGACATAGACCTTTTTTTCTCATTCCTTATTAGTTCATTACTTGTATCAAACTAATTTATAGCTTTAAATGTACACCATTAAAAACTTAAAAAGAATATTTGAAAAAGTAAATTTCAATAAAAAAGAAAAAAGAACCTTTTTATTTTTAGTAAACGATTATTACTTTTATTATATGCTTTGAATGTTTTGATATCTAAAAATACCTGACGACCCACATTATATTGAAAACGTAATTTTGAATTTACAAATAAAGTAATAAAGGTTAGTAGTTGCCATGTAGTCAAGACAACCAGAAAAAACAACCTTAGATTTAAAAACTGATGAACCCAAGAGATACGTAACTTAAAGAAAAAAGGTATTCCATTCTTATTGAATCTCTGACTAGAATCTAAACCTAAGACATATATGGGATGAAAATACAATTCTTTGCCCGTAAATTATTCAATGTCCCATAATCAATATTTCTTTTGTAACCCGACTATTATAACTTGAATTTTATATAAAATTATAAATCACCAAAATAATACCATTATCCATGTAGCACATGCACGGTAAAAATATTTTGTAACTTTGTAGCCGCTTAAATAATTTGCCTTTTAATTAAAAGATAGGTACCTATTTCAAAGTTACAGGGAATGTACAATTTGATTTTTTTCTTCGTACACAGTTGGTTTGTTTTTAGATTAATTGTTGAAATGGCAACAATTGGATATCGATGCAATCGTACAATATAATCTAAAAACATATTTTTTATATCACAATTAATCAGTGATTGGATAAGATGCACCAAAGCTCTGTTCTTCAACTATATATATATATAACACAATTGACGTGACACGACTAGTTTTAGTTAGGATTAAATGGTCTGCATTAATATGTAATTAAAATAGAATAGCTTTCAAGTATTATCACTAATGGTAGATGTCGGTTGATATCCCTCCCTATTATGGTTTCGACTAAGTGCCCAAGCACATTTTTATTATTCAGGATAAGTGCTGAATGCGTTATTGCAAAACACTTGATAACCTAATACTGATTGTTTACTTTTTGATTGCATTTTCTAAATGATTAAAATACCATCGGCTTCAGTATAAGTATATACTGACTTTTAATGATATGACTGACTGTACCAGAAAAAAAAAAATATTCAATCATATCTTTTTCTTCAATCTAATTACAAAGGTAGTTAATATTATTTTTTCGAAAAATCACTTTTCGAAATTCGGACCAGAATACGGAATGGATAATCTCTGCAGTGACACCGATATCTGTTTAGAACAGACAATAGTATACTCAAACCCGTTTATTTGAAAGTATATGAACCGATTTTTTCAGTGACCTCTTTGAGAATAAATGTTGTTCCTTGGGCATCAACTGTTGTATGCCATTTCTTGATTTCTGTTTAGGCTCTTTAATGAATAGACTTTGTTCCATATCTTAAATGTGTTAATTATGGTGTTAATGCTTGTTGTAAATTCTTTTCGTGAGTTATTTTTACCTTTTTTTAATTTTTATAAAATTTGTTTGGCTAATGAGTAATAACTATAGGTATATGCATTATTATCAAAAACAGTTTAATAACAAGTTTATAACAGTTTTCTATAATATTTAGTTTCTAGTGGCTAGTTGTAATAATACCGTCATAAATCCGTAATCGATGATATTCACCATATTCGCCATTCTGGTATTCCTATAAATCCCATTTTCTTATCATATTATCTTGCTAAAAATAGACGATATTGTTGGTATAATGATAGTATAGTTATAATAATATTAGCATAAAATATACTATAGGCATTATACATAGTTCATAAGAAATTTTATTGTGTTGTATGCAAATTTTTCTGATTTAATAAAAAAAAAAAACGTATTAACCACTAGTAGCCTGCTATTGTTTGATATCCGTCGTGGGCCCGGGCAATGCCCCCCTTCTAGACCCCCTTTATCCGGATTTGGTTATACTATCAATTGGTTAATAACATTTTGAAATATATTCACAAAAATAGATTGTATATTGACCTATAATTGGTTCAAAAAAATAATCATTTTTTAGATATTAGATAATCACTATATCAAGCAACAAATTAAAATCACGCACCTAATATTATATAATATAATATTCCCTCGATTACGAATTATTCATAATTATATGTCATAAAATACGTGAATTCTGGTTTTAAGTAAAATATTACAATCGCATTAGTTTTTTGATTAATCGGTTAAGTGATTGCTAAATCTAAAAAATATAATTTTTATCATTATAATTTATACATATATATTCTATAATGTGGCGTACACATTAAAATATCCTACTGTGGTATTATACACATCTGTAGACTATATCATTTATACATTATTTTAATAATTATGGGTAATCCCTCATAGCCTCATAATATTATTCTAATAATAATTATTATTATTATATGTTACAGTGGACACAACAAATCAATAACATTTATCAAACCGGATACTTAGTTTCGTTCATTGCACTCCTGCTGTCGATTGCCATTCTTACATATTTCAAGTAAGTAATAAATACTATTATTTTAGATTTTGTTTGTAATACGATGATGTTTTGTTTTTTTTGCTGTTTATACATTTATTATTCGTTAGAAAGCTCAACCAGAGTTTCATAATATTATGTGCTTGATTATAAAAATATTGGTAATTGGAAACACATGGTACTCTAAAAAGGTTAATTTATTATAAAATAAGGGATGTAAGCACTCGTTTTTAACAAATACGGTTTTTAGTATAGTACAATACGTAGGTAAGTAGTAATAATCTAATGAAAACATCAATTTTGGATAAATTAGTTTAAATTTGCTTTTTTTGATGTAACTATATATATTGTTTTTTTAAAACTGTGTTAGATTAGATGACTAGGGTAAGTGTGCTATGTGTGTAACAAAAAAATTAAGTGTCAAAAATCTATCATTATTTTTCGTTTTTTATTCTAATTTTATATAGTATAATATATATGGTCATACATTTTATTATCAAATACTATTAAAATGAATACAAAAATTATAATTATTTGATTTTGTTTATCGTTTAATGTTTTTTTTTTAATTATTAAAATATTCATAAGGGAAAAATGTAGATTCCAAATGCAATGATACAGTTGAATCTTAACCTGGTCGTATAAAAAAGATATTTTTTCAAACACCTTAATAATTTGAAAAACTACATGATTATAAGTGGTTGATTCCACGGTGCTCTATTTTTTATCCTTTACTAAAAGCTCTACTGTAAATCATTTTTTATAAGCAATAGTTTTTACTAGTAGCTTTATGTAACATGATTTTTTCTGTAACTGTATTATAAGATTGTCTCAAGACTTAAAGTATTTTGTATCCTATATTGATTTTACAATGATGTATGTGTGTATTTTCTATCCATAATCATCTTTTGGAGCAGTAAAAATGCTTAGATTTTCATTTTTAACGGTGATTTCTTGCTACTAATAAGATCTAATTGGTACTTATCACTTTGTAAAAAAAAAATTTTTAAAAATAACTAAAATAACTTAAAACTGTAACTTATTTAAATTGTTATCAAATGTTTATATTAACACCATCTTTATATGATAAAGTATTTTGACTTTTTAAGTTATTTATAGACATTTTCAATTGTTATTAATTTTTTCTATAAATATAAATAAAAAATTTTTTAATAATTTTGAAGTTAATAATGTACAAAATGCTCAATTTGTATACCCAAGAACTTATAGATTTTATGTAAGGTTTCTCATAACTTTATAAGTAATTCATAATGAAACAAAAAAATCTAAAAAAAAAGGCAGTTTCTTACAAGAAATTTTAAGTAGAAATTAGATATTTGAACGAAGAATAATGACTTCAGTTATTTTGTTGTAATTTAAAAATGTTATTCACAGGTACTTGAAACTTTTAATGTATATTATTTTTATATTTGTGCACAATGACATTTTCAAATGCAATGTTTTTAACTAAAATTAATCTTAGTTACTCTTTTAGTATAAACATGCGTATAAAAGTAAAAAAAAATAATATTTAAACATGTAAAAAAATATTAAAAATGTATCATAGACATTTTTATTATTATGTATTTGAAATTTATATTTTGATGAAATTCATCATAGTTGTAAAAATCACATAATTTGTTTATAAAAACTTTTATTTATGTATCAAATTTTGAAAATGTAATACAAGATTCCTTATAAGTAGTTCATACTGACTCTAGTTTGGTTAAATAATTCATCAAAACAAAATAATATGCTAGACTCAATCCGAAATAATTGTTTACGATTTAATTCCTTTAAATTCAATAATCATAGACTACCCCATACTTCATGAAATATTGTTTTAAGACTTTTTAATATCACCCTACTTCATAAATATCGCTTAGTGTTACTCTTAAAATATTGACACTAACTGTTAACTTAATTGTATAATTAACTGTCAAGAAATGTTATCCTTAATTAACATAAGAATAAACAATCTTAATACGAAAAACGTAGGTAATACTGTCAATTTTGATTATATTTAATGCTTTTCTTCATCTTTAGGTTAAAAATATTTTATTAGTTAAACTATGAAGTTAAAAATGCAACTTTTATGTGCTGTTATCTACATTATATACCATAATATTATGTATTTTAATAGGACGTTAGTCTGTTTATATTTTAAATGAATAAAATAAATAACTTTAACATAACATAAAATATACTTAGTGATAATGCTGATACTCTGACAAACCGTCTTCGCTCAGAATCTTTTTTCGTATACAATAATAAATTATTGAAAATTTAAAATGTATAATTGAACACACCTATTTGACTACTAATGTACAGCAGTTTGTTACCCTTCATTTTATTTTTAAACTATACGTTTTCTAATATTATATTAAATATAGGTTTATATTATGTAACATTCAGCCATTACGGAAATCCTAGATGATGTTAAATTTCCTATGAATAGAAGGTTCTCATTACATACATGAACTTAATTTACTATACAATGTCTGAGAAACGTTATTTTATTAGATAATGAACGTCCGTGAATTCAACAAGCTCCCCTCATATGCGAATTTGTTTCCGTTCCATTGACTGTGATTTAGCGAGAGCTACATAATAATATGAGATAAGATAATAGTAAAAAAAAAAAACAATGTATATAACAGATATTCACTATACATCATAAACATAACATAATCGTATGTAATATATATCTGTTTAGATACGCCTAATAGTATCGATGCAAAATAACTGTAACCTATTCGCAAGAGCGTGTTAGATAATTTATATGGACCATTGAAGACTTTATTATTATGTTGCTATTTAGGTGCTTACATTCGAAAATGGTCATCATTATTTTCAATTCTTCGCATCGGTTAACAATCATAAATCAACCAGGGTTTAAAACAAAAGAAATTTTTTACATTGATGTACGCGTACATTGTATTAAATCCTTTATGTATACACCATATAATGGGAATGATTATACCTACTCAGGTGTAATTGTTGTACAACTACGTCCTTTGTCGGAGTGAAATTTTTTAAATTTATAGAATTTATACCAATTCAAATATTATTTATTTAATTGATTATTGTATGCATAGTATACAATAAAGTGACCTATGGTAAATACATATTTGAATTTTCGTTAAGTGTTTGAACAAAATTATTCGCGTTTAAAAATCCTGGGTTGAATGTATTTTGTTTTTACGCATGTGACTATTTTATTTTTTTTACAAATTTTTATTGAATAAAATTAATTTGAAAAAAATACGTTATGTTTATTTAATTGAAAATGTGATTGTAATAGATTATTTAAATAAACGCATTTTAATATTTGATTCTAAATAATACATAAAAACACACTAAAAGATTTAAATTTGTTTTTATTTTTAAATATTTATCGTTTGTATAATTATATATATATATATAAAAAAAATAAAAAAAAAATAATGATAATAGATGCTTTAAAAAGTATTATACAATAGGCATGGGTAAGTACTGTATTTATTTTAAACACAATCTAAATAATATTTTCTAATTTTTTGATAGTGTGGTACTTGAATAGTAAAGTAAAACATAATTGCATGAGAACCTCATATTTATATTAACAAGAACAAAGAAATAACGAATAATTAGAATGCTCTATAATGTGATGTATTCGGCTTCTTGGAAACACTTTGAAAGATGAGGATAATTCTCATTAAAAACAAAACATTATATTTTGAATATTAATGTACAAGTTGTTAAGAATGAATAGTTTACACATTTAATTTAAATTGTATTTCATATTGTGCAGTGTACACTAAAATTGTAAAATGTACAAAAGATGTAAAGTTATTTGCGTTTTTTATTATAAATACATTACATATATTAAATTATTAAAAATATATATATTTTTAAAGGTACGCATTTATAGTACTCTATAATTGTAAAAAAATTCGATACTTAATTAAGTCAAACTGTTAAAAAAATTGTTTAGTATGATTTGGTATAAATATAAAAGGTTATCCTATATTTTATAATAAATTGTCGTTTAAACTACTACAGTGCGTATCTCATTGTTTGTAGTTGTCCAGGAGACACAAAAAATACATGTTTTATGATTCAATCAAACTAAATATAAGTTATAACATGTTTATTTTATGTAATTTGGATTAAAAAAGTGTTTTAAACACTAAAATTCAAAATTTATTAAATATTCAGTATTTTACATGAGATACACTTTGTTTAACACAAATGTATCTGAGATAGGTCCTTTTACTTTATTGGTAATAAACCGTTATTTGAACACACCTTAATAATAATTCTATTATATAATTGGGATGTAATAAATTATCATTATGTTATTATCTTTAAAATATTATGTTTAATAATTTTTAATTTGACTAATCAGGGCTGTAAAATGAAATACCCTGATAAACTTAAAAACTTAAAACATTTTAACAGGACAATATGACTAGACCAAGTAAAATATTAAAAAACTCACTTTGTAGTTCCTTTTTGTTTTATTTCGGTTAACTCTTTAAACTTCTATGTAGGTTAAATTAGATTATTATAATAATTAATAATATTCGTCTTGGGTTGATTTCGATCAAAATAATATGAAAGCGTAAACCAAATATTTATTTTCATATATTTCCTTTATTCATAAATAATACATTTACATTTTCACATAATTCTACAATAATTTAATTTAATTTTTATTTTTGTCATTAATATTTATAAAAAAATATAATTTATTCATTTATTTTTATTTTTAATGCTTTAGATATCCATTTAAAATCAAAATACTTTATAATAACGAATTTTTCTTCAATGTACAGTAAATAAGTAACATAAACTAACTTTAAATATAATTATTTATTTACTCTATTTTATTTTATTTTATTTACGGCATTCGGAAATTTCATAGATGGCACACAAATTATTAGACATTTTAACATAAGTGTAAAAATTATTGGTAACATAGATAATAATATAAAAAGATAATAATACGTAATAAGATAGTAATAGTAGTAATAATA